GATGGAATTACTATTGGTATCTAATGCTCTGACACCATATTGCAGTGTAATTCCATCGCACCTAATCCTACTGACACTGCATCGCATATCTCGGGGTGATAGAACATCGGATAGGCCCATCTGATACAAATATCTTGGCAGTGAGAGTAGTACATCCTTAACCACATGGATGAAAGCTTGAAGGTGAGTGTGGCCCTCTGTGAACCAGACATCTGAAAGAACCTGTGGTTTGACATAGACCTGCTGCAGAGGCATCAGGATCATGGCTTGTGGGGTTGTGCCTAAGTTCAATGTTGGTAATGAATTCTCCACCAGGCTAGGTACCAAAGCTGAAAGACCATCCAACTTGGAGTTTAGCTCTTTGCAAAGAGTCAAGGAAGACCTCTTGAGTTGTTCTATTTCCTTGCGAAGAATCCCCAGGCATTCTGAAATAACTGCTTTGACATTCTTCACAATATGTGGACCAATGGCCTCCAGAATGGCCTTAAGCTGTTCTTCTGACAGTTGAGTGGACATCAGTGGGAGAGCTGGGGGTAACTCTGCTAATGAGTGTGTGCTTGTCAACAGTCATCATCCAAGGGAACTCTGATCCAGTGATTGATCTGGGGATACAAATGGGGGGGTGTGATGTGTGGAAGGAGTTGGTGTCAAATCACATGAGGAATCCAACAAAGATCTGAGAAGGGAGTCAGGGTTGAAGGTAAATGTAGGCACAATCTTGAAGTATCAGGAACATGAAACTGAGATAAGGATGAAGAAACAAGATAAAGTTGGATGGTGGGATAGAAGGAAGAGAGAGAGAAAAAAAAAGGAGAAGATTAAACACAAGTGGCACAATAAGTGCAGGGCAGTAGTGTAATGATCTGGGGTTCATAAGTCCTCAAGGAAAAAAGATATATAAGCTTTTCTTTGTTTGTGAAGTGGTTTGGTTTGACATGTTGGGGAAATTTTTTTTTTTTTGAGGTGGAATTCTAATGTAATGGTCTAGCTTAGATTCTCTTACATGGTTGACCCAACTGTAAGCATAAAGTTACATTGCCTTTAAAGCGAGTAAATAGAGAGTTGAATTTTGATGAAAGAGATTGAGACAAAAGAATTCCACAAAGGGAAAAGAGAAGGAAACACAGTCAGCTTCAGACTATAAATAGTAGCACAATACATGTCTGACATGTTGCTCTACTCAGTCAAAGTTCACCTGAGTTTTCATAACTGTGACATGTGTCATGTGTACAGAATCTTCCAGAAGAGAGATATGAAACAAGACAAAACATAGAACACATAAAAAAAAACTTAAAATCATTACACAAAACCAAAGCACACAACCTTCTCAGCTCTGAATGCAAGTGGCTCTGTGGGGACAACCATTTCCAGCTTCACCACTCAGACCAACCAGCAAGTGAAGGTACCTCTGAACGCAATCCCTGGGCACTGACTGGGGCTGCCACGGACCCCTTTGACATTCAGGATGAGGTGAATTCATACCTTACTGCCCCAATTGCATACACTGCCAAGATATTTGTATCGGATGGGCCTATCCAATGTTCCATCACCCCGAGATATGCGATGCAGTGTCAGTAGGATTAGGTGCGATGGAATTACACTGCAATATGGTGTCAGAGCATTAGATACCGATAGTAATTCCATCGCACCTAATCCTACTGACACTGCATTGCATATCTTGGGGTGATAGAACATCGGATAGGCCCATCCGATACAAATATCTTGGCAGTGAGACTTAGGGTAGAATACTTAATGTGCATAGTCAAGCTATGACTGCCCTGTTACACTGGTAGCAAGAGCTTTCTTTCCTTTAAAAATTGTCAATGATCTGATGCCTCTCCAATTTTTTTTCTTCCTTCCAGTGTCATGTAGTTCATTGACCAAAGTAAAGGAATGCAGAAAAGTCAGACTTATTGCTAGACTTGATTAGCTAAATTTTGGGAAGACTTTTTGTTTGTTGGAAAAGTTAAAAAGAAA